CAGCTTACTGTGTGTGGTAAGCAGCGAATACCAGCTGTAAGCAAGAAGAGACGAGCGCCTGTCGAGAATACTTGTTCCACACACACATTAAAAAAACGAATGAACTCCGTCTTCCCAATTCGGAGTCTAGAAAAATCTGGTGCCTGAACCATATCCGACCCGAGCGAACCTCTTCTGACTCCCTGCGGGCACTTTTCGAATTGCGCGCGCACGTCATGAACACCGGTGCCCCCCCCGCAGCGCTAAGCAAACATACAGGCACATTCCAACGATTGAACGTGCTTACGCCTTCTCCCTCCTCGCATGCGCATCCTGAGGACTCCCTCCTGAAGTCGAATGCCACTGGCCCAAGGTCTTGAGGTCGTACATTGACCGACAGGCACAGAATGATTCAGCAAAAAAAGGCGCTGCGTATAAAGACACACACAGACACACTGCTGAGGGATAACTGAAACTGGAGATTGCGCATTGGATGAAGAGACTTCCCAGCGCACACCTGAATCCTGAAATGATGGCGGGTGCAACGGTGAGCAATGAAACTAGCTGTCACCGTAATGATATATTGCGGCTTGCTCAATGCCTGGCCGTCTCCCCTTAGCCTTCTGCGCAAATAAAAAATAATCATACGCAGCACCCGGCAATGTCGGATAAGAATGATGGGGCATCGGGGTCGTCGGCAGTCTGCGAAAATCTGAAGAAGCCCGCCGCAAGCGCCTACTTTTTACAATTAATACAACAAGCTCGCCGCAGGCGCCGACTTTTCCTTGAAAGCAATGTGGGTGGGTCGCGGGGCGGGTCGCGGTTGGGTCGCGGGTGGGTCGCGGTTGGGTCGCGGGTGGGTCGCGGGTGGATCGCGGGCGGGTCGCGGGGGCCGCGGGTGAGTCGCGGGTGGTCGCGGGTGGGTCGCGGGCCCGGTCGCGGGTTGGTCGCGGGCCGGGTCGCGGGTGGGTCGCGGGTGGGTCGCGGGTTGGTCGCGGGCAGGGTCGCGGGGGGGACGACGACAACAAACAACAAACAACAAACAACACACAACAACAACACCACCATCAACAACAACAACACCAACAACACCACCAGCAACAGCAACAGCCACACCAACACCAACAACAACACCACCAACAACAATAATAACACCAATATCAACAACACCAACACCAACAACAGCAACAATAACAGCAACACCATAACAAGAACAACAACAACCACAACAATGATTTTAAGACTGTTCGCTCTTACTGGCACGCGTGTCTTGCATTCCGTATATGCCCCAACCCTCGATAACCGCCCACTTCGTCTTCGATTGCAACCCCTTTCGGGGGGAATATCCTCCTTGTCGGTCACTGACTGAAGTGCGAAGAACTCTCGAGCGAGAGCGCCGTTCCTGAGTTCGGGGGCTTCTCTAGCCAGGGGCTCTCGGACTTCTTTTGGAGAAATATCGAACGGGAGCCTTTGTCGCCGTGTCTGGACCCCCACCAACTTGCCTGAATCATGAGAAAATCTCGAGCGAGAGCGCCACTCTTGAGTTTGGGGGCCTCTCTGGCAAGGGCCTTTGCGAATACATCTTGAGAAATTATCGAACGAGAGCCCTTGTCGTCGTAGTTTGGCCTCTACTAGTTTGACTGAGTCACGAGACAATCTCGAGCAAGAGCGCCGTTCCTGAGTTCGGGGGTCTTCCTGGCCAGGGGCTCTCGGAGTAAACCGTGAGGAAGCATCGAGCAGGAGCCCTTGTCGTCGTGGCTGGGCCTCCGCCACCTTGACTGAATTGCAATGAAGTCTCGAGCGAGAGCGCCGTTCCTGAGTTCGGGGGCCTCTCTGGCCAGGGTGTCTCGGGGTAAAATTGTAGGGAAATATCGAGCGGGAGTCGTTGTCTTCGCAGCCGGGCCTCCAAGGGACCACTGTTACACTCAAGCCAACGTTCGAGCGGGCGCATCGTTTTCAAAGAAAATGTAGCCGGCGTCGAGGCGATAGCGCCCGGCAACGTTTCCGGAGATCAGCAAAAACTCTTTACACATGAATTTTCAACACCGGCAGCAGAAGCAACAACAACAACAGCAACACCATCACAAACAACACTAACAACACTAACAACAATTATTCACTGCGTGGGGATCCCCATATGTGCATCTCCTTGCTGGCGCTCCCTTGGTGGTGGGACTCGGTGAGGACGAATCTGGATTTAAGTGTGACTGAGCTGCCTCTCTCTCTCTCTCTGCTCTCTCTGTCTCTCTCTCTCTCTCTGCCCTCTCTCTGTCTCTGCCTCTCTTTCCCTGCCTCTCTCTCTCTCTCCTCTCTCTCTGCCTCTCTCTCTCTGCCTCTCTCTCTCTCTCTGCCTCTCTCTCTGTGCCTCTCTCTCTCTGCCTCTATCTCTGCCTCTCTCTCTCTCTCTCTCTCTCTCTCTCTTCTCTCTATTCTCTCTCTGCTCTCTCCTCTCTCTCTCACTCTCCCTCTCTCTCTCTCTCGCTCTCTCTCTTCTCTTCTCTTCTCTTCTCTTCTCTCTCTCTCTCTCTATCTCTCTCTCTCTATCTCTCTCTCTCTCTCTCTCTCTCTCTCTCTCTCTCTCTCTTCCCTCGCTCTCTCTCTCTCTCTCTCTCTCTCTCTCTCTCTCTCTCGCTCTCTCGCTCTCTCTTGCTCTCTCTCGCTCTCTGTCGCTCTCTCTCGCTCTCTCTCTCTCTCTCTCTCTCTCTCGCTCTCACTCGCTCTCTCTCGCTCTCTCTCGCTCTCCCTCGCTCTCTCCCGCTCTCTCTCTCTCTCTCTCTCTCTGCTCTCTCTCTCTCTCTCTCGTCTCTCGCTCTCTCTCTCTCTCTCTCTCTATCTCTCTCTTCTCTTCTCTTCGCTTCTCTTCTCTCTCTCTCTCTCTCTCTCTCTCTCTCTCTCTCTCTCTCTCTCTCTCTCTCTCTCTCTCTCTCTCTCTCTCTATCTCTATCTCTCTCTCTCTCTCTCTCTCTCTTCTCTCTTCTCTCTTCTCTCTTCTCTCTCTCTCTCTCTCTCTCTTCTCTCTTTCTCTCGCCTGTCTCCTCTCTCAACTCCCCCTCTCTCTCTCTCTCTCGCTCTCTCTCTCTCTCTCTCTCTCTCTCTCTCTCTCTCTCCTCTCCTCTCCCTCTCTCTCGCTTCCTCTCTCTCTCTCTCTTGCTCTCTCTCTCTCTCTCTCTCTCTCTCTCTTCTCTCTCTCTCTCTATCTTCCTCTCTCTCTCTCTCTCTTCCTCGCTCTCTCTCTCTCTCTCGCTCGCTCGCTCGCTCGCTCGCTCTCTCTCTCTCTCTCTCTCTCGCTCGCGCTCGCGCTCGCGCTCGCGCTCGCGCTCGCGCTCGCGCGCTCTCTCTCTCTCTCTCTCTCTCGCTCTCTCCCGCTCTCTCTCTCTCTCTCTCTCTTCTCTCTCTCTCTCTCTCTCTCTCTCTCTCTCTGCTCTCTTCGCTACTGGCTTCTGACGGAGTCTGGGTTAGGTGAGCCTGAGTGTGGGTGAGTCTGAGTATGGGTACGTCTGTGTGTGCCTGACTCTGAAGAAATGAATCTGAGTGTGAGTGAGCTTGTGTATGAGTGAGTCTGGGTGCGAGTCTGAATCCCAATGGTGCCCCTGGCAGTGTCTGGCGACTAGGAGGCCCGGGTCGACTCCTCTTTGGGAAGCCAAAATGCTGCCCCTGGCAGCGTTTGGTGACTATGAAGCCCCTGGTGGACCCCCCCTGGGGCTCCCAAATGATGCCCCTGGCAGCGTTTTGTGACCATGAGGCTCTCAAGAGATACATGTTGGGGACGCCAAACGGCAATTCTAGCTGAGGCGTCCCACCAAAATCGGCGCGAACGGGCTCGTGAGATCAGCCAGGGTGGCTCCCCCTTGGGGCTCCCAAATGATGCCCCTGGCAGCGTTTTGTGACCATGAGGCTCTCAAGAGATACATGTTGGGGAGCCAAACGGCAATTCTAGCTGAGGCGTCCCACCAAAATCGGCGCGAACGGGCTCGTGAGATCAGCCAGGGTGGCTCCCCCTTGGGGCTCCCAAATGATGCCCCTGGCAGCGTTTTGTGACCATGAGGCTCTCAAGAGATACATGTTGGGGAGGCCAAACGGCAATTCTAGCTGAGACGTCCCACCAAAATCGGCGCGAACGGGCTCGTGAGATCAGCCAGGGTGGCTCCCCCTTGGGGCTCCCAAATGATGCCCCTGGCAGCGTTTTGTGACCATGAGGCTCTCAAGAGATACATGTTGGGGAGGCCAAACGGCAATTCTAGCTGAGACGTCCCACCAAAATCGGCGCGAACGGGCTCGTGAGATCAGCCAGGGTGGCTCCCCCTTGGGGCTCCCAAATGATGCCCCTGGCAGCGTTTTGTGACCATGAGGCTCTCAAGAGATACATGTTGGGGAGGCCAAACGGCAATTCTAGCTGAGACGTCCCACCAAAATCGGCGCGAACGGGCTCGTGAGATCAGCCAGGGTGGCTCCCCCTTGGGGCTCCCAAATGATGCCCCTGGCAGCGTTTTGTGACCATGAGGCTCTCAAGAGAGACATGTTGGGGAGGCCAAACGGCAATTTTAGCTGAGACGTCCCACCAAAATCGGCGCGAACGGGCTCGTGAGATCAGCCAGGGTGGCTCCCCCTTGGGGCTCCCAAATGATGCCCCTGGCAGCGTTTTGTGATCATGAGAGAGTGTGAGTGTGAGTGAATGTGACTGTGAGTGAGTCTGAGTGAGAGTGAGTCTCATCTTATCTTATCGAGTCCTATCTTATCTTACCTTTATTACCCTCTATCTTATCTTAGCTTGAAATATCTTATCTTGTCTTAGTTTATCTTATATCAACTCATCTTATCGCATCATATCTTGTCTTATCTTATTACTCCATAGGCTGTCTTTTCTTATATATTATCCTACCTTGTCGTATATATTATCTTACCTTATCATATATTGTGCTATCTTATCTTATCTTGTAGTATCTTATCTTGTCTTGTCTTATCTGGTGATTATCATTGAAAGGAGGGAGGCGCGAGCGGGAGGAAGGAGGAGCAGTGGGAGGCGTCAGAGTAATAACAAGAACCCCAATCCTTAGGATATGGGGAACAACAACAACAACAATCCGCACCGCAGAACCTCACTTCAGCCACGCGCCCAGGGACAGAGAATGACCTTTCGGCCTCCTCACTCTGACTGACGGGGGCCTCTGTTGACTCGCATGGCAATCAACGCAACAATTAGGTGATAAAGAGATCTGGGCAACAATCTGCAGAGCAACATAAGGAGCGCGTGCCGGACACTGGTGACCTTCCTCAAGCACGCGGCCAGCGCCATGTCCTCACCCCCTCAACTGCGCTGCGCCTTGCCCAACCCATCGTGCTGTCTAACTAGTATAATCGGAACCAGCTGCGCATCCTCAAAGAAAGGAACATCGACATAAACATATGCTTTCGGAGGTCCGCTCGAACCTCTCGGATTGGCGCTGACCCCCATCCCTGGCACGCACGGCGCGCTAGGGGCGACGCCGGAGGCACCGCCAAGGGAGCACAGCGCCGATCCAGGAAACCCGCGCAGACTTCAAGAAGACTGTGCTTATGCAAATGACTTCTATTCGATATCCACTATGGGGTCCTCGCAATGGCGAGCCCGACGGATGCGTGCACCGACGAAAACGACGTCGTCGACGACGGTCGACCTCGATTGTCTCCGAGTTCGTCGTTGCCGATCGTCGTTATCGCCGTCTTTAACCCTCGCCGTCACCGAATTCGATCCCTGATCCTTTCTCGTCGTCTTCGTCGTCGTCGACCGTCGGCTGCACATGGATTATTCGATCGTGCATGGAGTACTCGATCGTCCACGTCCTCGTCGCCATCGACCTTCGCCCTGCCCATGTGCCATCCTCGATCACCGCCGTCGCCGTCGATGGACTCCTCCCATACATGTCCTGGAGCGCGCTCTGATCAAGATTCTTGGTCAAACCCAGCCGTGTCAGCCATGGGCCCCGGGGAGGCTCCAAAAAGGCACGGAGCATCGTCCCAACAATCGGTCGCCGAGCGCCGGCCGTCCGCATCGTCGCCGACCGAGGCCCTGGGAGCTGGCCACCGCTCGGACGTCCATTCCCTGTGCTTTTCTCGGTTTCGTGCGTGGCTTCTTCGCAGGATGAGCCAGGATGCTCCTTGATGAAACCCCCGCCGAGAAAAAGTGCACACGTCCGAGCGATACCAGGCCAATCGGTCGTCGAGCGCCGGCCGTCCGCATCGTCGCCGACCGAGGCCCGGGGAGGAGCTCTCGACACCACCTCTGGGATATGAACTCCCTGCCGCGGGCCGCTCTCCGACGGCCGTGGGGCCCCGAGGACTGGCCCCGGGGAGGCCGAGTCTGCGGAACCACCGCGCGCCGATCGGCCTCGGCCGTCGTCGTTGTCCTCGTCGGCCAGGGCGCCTGCGGGGAGTCCTCGATTGTCCCCTCCCTCCTCGTCGTCGATCGCCGTTCTCCCCCTCTTCCTTCCCAGACCGCCGACCGTCGTCGATCATCGGCGTCGATCCTCGATCGTCGGCTGTCGTCGACCTTCGAGGATCGCCGTCGATCTGTCAGAATCGTCGTCGTGGTCTACGTGGGTGTCATCATCATCGCCGTCAGCGACGATGTCACCGTCGCTGTCGCCCCACTTCGCCCCCAGACACTGGGCGGCTCGGCCTTTTCGAGAGGTGGGCCCCCGAACCCGTCGACTCGTTCCCGTGTTGGGCATCTGCTTTATCTGTTGCTTCTGCCTGTTTGTGCGCACGTGCGCCCTTTTTTCCTATTTCGAGGTTTACGAAGAACTTCGGTCTTGTAAACCAGCTTTCTCGTACGTTTTTCCAGTTCTTGGCCGCGCCTGATCAGACAACGCTTGCAGGGTCTTGCAAACCAGCACAAAAGTCTTTATATCAGCCACGCTGTGGCTTTAATGCAAAAAGACGCAGGTTTACAAGACCCTCCTCCTCCTCCTCCTCCTCTTCCTCCTCCTCCTCCTCCTCCTCCTCCTCCTCCTCCTCCTCCTCCTCCTCCTCCTCCTTGTTGCTTCTGCCTGTTTGTGCGCACGTGCGCCCTCTCTTACCCCCCCGAGGCGCTCTTGGCGGCCCTGGGGCACGGACGCAGCCCCCCCGGATGCTCGAGAACGCTCCGGCCCGCGTCCGCCGGGGCCATGCCGCGAACCCCACCGGCCAGGAAGGATCTCCCCAACTGAAGGGGCCCCAGGACACACAAATAAATACACACAAATAAAAATATTCCCCATACCTTCCTATATTTTCGGTTTTTTGGTCTTCCCCCCCACTTCCCATATTTTCCCATATTTTCCTGGGAATCGACGATTAATTGTGTCTGTGTGTTTTTTCCCCTCCTGACCAACCTGGGTCCGCGGGGGAGGTTGGAAAGTAGGGGCGGGGAATCAGGGCACGTAGGGTAGCAAAGGGGTTGAACGTAGGGTTGCACAGGGTAGGGTAGAGAATCAGCTCACGCAGCCGGTTTCCTTGGCGCCTCCAGGCGCCGGGAGGCGACCATGTATCAAGGGAAGGGCCTGGCGGTGGGGCCGGAACCAGCTGCACGCAGCGAATTTTGTAACCTCCCCTTTCCCAAAAGGAAATCGGCCTTGGTGGTACTTGGGGATGATAATGCATTTCTTCAACGGGATCCGTTTTCATTTGGTTCTCCGATTCCGTCTCCTTTTCTTTGGTTCCGTCGCATTTTTGTTTTAATTGCATGTTTGGGTTTCGGCTCCGGTTCCGATTCGGGCGCATTCTGTTTGTGGTGCGCAGATTTCGATTGGGGTCGGCTTCACGCGGCTCCCAAGCCCGGGTACGCCTGAGGGAATCAGACTGGACTGGATGACCCCCGATCGGGCCGACCCACATCGCACGCCTCTCGAACGCCGAAACTGTCAATGACCTGCCGTCTCGATGTTGTCTTGTTCGAATCGCTGGGGGGGTGGTCCAGCGCCGATCCAAGACATCCGCGCGGAACTCGAAAATTTATGCCTATGCGTTTTGTTCTTCGACTGGGGTCGTCGATCGTCGTCGGCCAGGGCGCCCCCGAGGAGAGTCCTCGATCGTCTCCAGGCGCACCGTCGCGACCTTCAGGCAAGGCCAAGTCCAGACGGAGTCGGTCCAGACGGAGTCAGTCCAGACGGAGACCGAGCACTCCGTATGGACTCACTCCGTATGGACTTAGCCTCCCAACGGGAGAGGCGGAGTCCAGACGGAACAAGTCCGTGCAGAGGCCGAGCACTCCGCATGGACCTGCTCCGTATGGACCTGGCCTCCGCCGAGACCTGCTCCAAGCAGACGAGCAGCCTCCCGCGGGCGGCGACCAGGGCGCCGCGGCTGAGGACGTAGCCTGGCCGTACGGGGGTGGAGGAGGAGGAGGAGGAGGAGGAGGAGGAGGAGGAGGAGGAGGAGGAGGAGGAGGGAGGGAGGAACGAGCGAACGAACGCCGGAGTGGTGCGCGCTCCGATGGGGAGCCTGGAGCCGCCCGTGTCCATCAGGGCATGGCGTGGATGCCGTAGCCTCGACGGATGCTGATTCTGTGCCCGCCCATCGCTTCGGCGAGGCGCGCCTGCCGCGCCCGTAGGGAGACGAGGCTGAGGAGGAAGACGAGGAAAGGCTCTGATGTGGGAGGGGTGAAGTGATCATAGCTCCGGGAAGATTACACATCAGGCGGTGCCTTCGCAGGCTCGCCGCGCCCCATCTCTGATAGCGCACGGCAGCTCCTCTGGCAAATGGGTGCTCACACAGGGGGGAGCGGGGTGGGGGGGTGGGGGGGGGCCCAGACCTTAGACGCTCCCCCCAAACACATTGTTGCTAATTGGCTTCGATCCTTGGGGGCAGGTTTCGGGCCCTGGGATGGTCAAAGCTGACTCGGTAAGAAACGCCAGCCCTCCCGGGCGAAGGACTCGGTAGTTCCAAGGGCCCCGAGGCCCCGAGCTGAATACAAATCATGACGTCGGAGGTCTGTTTGGGGGCAATTGGGGGACAAGGGACGCGGTTCTGGAACGCGTTTGGCGCGTCTTGAGGCTCCAGGGGCCTCCAGGGATATCTGGAGGCACCCAGAAGCCGTCAGGGACCGAAGGGAAGGAGGGGGAGACAGAAAAGGAGGAGTTATCTCTGGAGAGGGAGGACGAAGGAGGAAGGACGTGGAGGGAGGGCGGGGAGGAGGAAGGAAGGGGAAGGCGGGGGAGAATGGCAGGAGGGGGAGAAGGATCGATCCCTGAATGCACCCAGAGACCCAAGAGGGGGAAGGTGGAGCTTAGGCTTGGCAGGTTTCACGTGCATTTGGGCGGCCGAGCTGGGCGGCGTCCGCGCGACGCGGGGCGGCCCGCGGGGTGCCGCGTGGCCGCCCGCATGGCGCCGTGCGGCACGGCGGCAGGCGGCCGTGCACGGCGTGCGCCACCGCACGGCGCCGCGCTCGATCCTCTCTCGCGGCCGCCCGCGCAGGGCAACAGGGGATCGGTCTGTGCTCGCTTCGTGGCCACAGGCCCTACCCTTAGGTCGGGCCTGTTCCCCTATAGGGGGATTTAGGACGAACAATTCAAAACACATACGCCAAAAATGCTTAGTCAAACAATGGTCTCAGACTTTTTTATAAAAGACTATTTTTGAATATTCCTCCTGTAGAGGGACAGGCCCGACTGAACCCTAACCCCCCCACCCCTGGACAGATAATGCAACATTTGCAGGTCGTGTCGAGAAATCGACCGGGAGACTTTCTGAAGGCCGTGTCGGACGGTCCAGTGCGAGAACGCTCCCGCACATTGCTGCTCCCGACCTTCCTGCTCCCCTCGTCCTCCTCCCCCTCCTCCTGCCCGTCTCCCTTTCCCCCATCCCGCCTGCCATACATCGACCTCCAGCGCTATCCTCTCTACGCTCTCGCGCGGCCGCCGTGGAGCGGGGCAGCCAACTCTGCGGCCCCGGCCGCGGGGCGGCAGGACGGGAGGTTTTCCATTATTTTCGGCCTCCGTGGGGCCCTTACCGGGCTTCGGGGTCGCCAGAGAACGACCCAGGATGAAAAATCAGCCCCAGAGAAGGGTCCAGGCCTCTGGGGATGGACATTGGTAAAGGATCCCGACGTCGGGGGTCGAGTAGGAACGTAACCATATCCGCGCCCTCGCGGTCTGGATTCCAGGGCGCGATCCCGCGGATACGCGGTCGCACAGGGGCGTTCCGCACGGGGCATTTGCGAAACAACGCCTCGTGTCTGCAGGGTCGCGGCTCAGGGGTTCGGGCACGCGATGCCGCGGGTACGGGTATGCTTCCGCCCCCGAATATGAAAGGTTAAAAAGCCATCGTGCCGCCAGAAGAAGTAGCGCCCAAGAAGAAAAGCAAGAACCCCGCCTGTGCCCAGAACAGGCCTCATTTCAGCGAACTGGATGTACACCCTGCGAAATGCTTTAGAAATCATGGGTTCTGAAATTCATAGTCTCAGGATTTGAATCAAAACCCAACATTCCCATTCAAATCTTAGGATTTACATCGAAACATTAAGAATAATCGAGACTCTGGCCGAAAACTTGGGTTTTCTTAAGCATCGCCTAAGGTGTAGCCGCCGGCGTCCAACGAGATCCACCGTGGGCGGCCAGAGGCCGCCGCCAAAAGCCGACGCGAGGAGACGGCGGGCCAGCTCGCCTGCAGAGGCTGGAGGGGCGGGGGGGGGGGCGCGGCCTCCGCCGCCGTGGGCGAACTGGTTCCACTGCTCATAGCCGGGGCCGTGCGCGTGAACCAGCATGCCTCCGTGCGCCCCGTCCGCCTCATCCGGCTTCCTGCGCCGAACTCTGCCCTCGGCCCTCCGCTGAAATCTTGGAAGTGCCAATTTGTCACACCGTGCTGTTTCGCCCGGTTTCGGAGCCATCGCAAACTGACCCGGCTCGAAGGATGTCGCAGAAATATGAGGTTCAGGGCTCCAGTCGTGATGTTTCGCGATGCTGATTTTTCGCAACGTTGGATGTCAAGATCGAGGATCGAGGGGAAGAGGCTCTGGGGGGTTTCAGGAGGTTTGGACATGTTGCGGTTTCTGTGTGCGCCTCTGGAGGAGGAGGACGAGGAGGAGGAGGAGGAGGAGGAGGAGGAGGAGGAGGAGGAGGAGGAACCGCCGCCCTGCCGCTGCCCCGAACGCCGTCCCGGCAGAGCCCCCCTCAATATGAGGAGGTCTTGCGCAAGCTGGCGCAGCGACCTTCCGCGGTAGCTTTCGCGGGCCGCCGGCGCGGCACGTCAAAAGAAACGATGGCGCTTGCGCGCGACCTTGTACGAGCAACCAGCGCGCGAATGTCGGCGCAGTCGAACCCCTTTCTTTGCGTCGCTCATGTGGCACCTCCAGCGAATAGCCCTTCCCAAGGCCGGTGGCCAGGGCGCGGGCTGCCCGACTTGCGGATGGCCTGGCGCCCGGGCGCCCTGGGTTCCCGACCTGAGGGTGGTGGCTACTCTCCCCGCGCTCCTCGTTTCCCTCCCTCCTCCACTCGCCATGTCTGCTTTACTTCTTCGACCCATCTGCGTACGGGCTCCTCGCGTCTCCACTTCGTCCGCTCTTGCATTATTATCTTCGTGGAGCTCTTCAAGCTCCTCCTCCTCCTCATGGGCTATGTCTGCAATCGAAGCGTTGTCGCATCCCCTGAAACAATGTGCTATACTCTATGGGTATAGATGTACATATGTATTTTTATATATATGTACCAGTTTATATATGTGTATATATATACATATAAATATGTCAAACAGCGTTGACTCCAACTAGATCGGAAGACAGGAGGACGAGAGGAGGATGGGAGGTGGACGAAAGGAGGACGGGAGCAGGACGGGAGGATAATGGGAGGAGCAACATCAAGCAAGCGCAAGCAAGCAAGCGGAAGCAAGCAAGCGCAAGCGAGCAATAACAAGCAAGCAAGATCCAACGATCTAGTGCAAGCAAGCAAGGGCAAGCAAGGGCAAGCAAGCGAGAGCAAGCACGCAAGAGCAAGCAAGCAGGTGCCATTGGAAAAAGGGGGGGGGCATTGGAAAAAGGGTGGGTGCCATTGGAAAAAAGGGGGTGCTAAAGACCAATTGCTCATGATGAGCTAGGACTCTTATAGGGCAAGCCAATTTGGATAATACATACATATATATATATATATCGCTCTCTCTCTCTCTCTCTCATTGTACATCTCTATCTTCCTCTCTCTCTCTCTATCTCCCCTTCTTCCCCTCAATGCCTCAATGAGTGGTGCCGTCCCTCTGTGTCTCTCTGTCTAGATTGTCCTCTCTATGCGGTTTTCTTCCCCTCTCTCTTGTCTCGTTTGTGTAATCTATCTTGATTCTCTCGAACTATAATTGTCTGTCCTTGGTGCGTTTCTTTGTTACGCTCCTTTTCCGTGTATACATGCTTTTCTCTCGTTATACCTCTCTCTCACTCTTTCTTTTTTGTTTGTATCTCTCTCTTTCTCTCTCTCTCTCTCTCTCTCGCTCTCTCTCTCTCTCTCTCTCTCTCTCTCTCCCTTCTACATCCCCCATCCAGAGTGAGACTCAACACTCGTGGGCGGAAAGCATTTTCCCTAGCGGAGTATATGGGGCACGATGTGACGCAACACCACCGCCTCGAATAACATATCCATCCACTTCCTTCTCGTCTTCTGCCTTCTGCGGCGTTCTGTCATTTGCCCGTGGCAAACCGAGCTTCCGACATAACCCGAGCTCATAGCTTTCTGTTCTGCTCGTCGTCACCTTTACATACTTACCGTCGTCGTCATCATCGCTGCTTGCCCGCTGTGCCCGTTCCCCATCCAGCGTAAACTGTCTCGGAAGCGTTGAACCCTTGCAACTTGTGCAGCAACGCAGGCACCTGCGAGCCCCTCCGCCAATCGACGGGGTGCTGATGGCAGATGCTCATCGAGTCGCGCTGTGACACACTGACCTTGTACTAGGTATGTCAAACTGTGATCCACCAACAACCCCTGGCGAAGCTGAGAATGCAGACCCGTGGTCGACTACTCGAAAACTCGACAAGCCCCAGGTCATTCCTCCGCCAATTCCTCCCCCTCGCCGTCGCCCGGACGTCCATCCTATGTGCATTTCCACAAGTTGATCCAATGCTCCTCGATGGTCCTCGCCTGGGAAAAAGGCACACGTCCGAACGATGCCAAGGCAAACTGGACAGGCCCCAGATTATTCCTCTGCCGCTTCCTCCCCTCCTCACGCGCGTGCGAAGCTTCGGCTGCATATGCTCGTTCGGGCTGCATCGGAGAGCGACCGCGTGGCTTACTTCAGATGGTCCCTTCGGTTTGTGTGCTTTCTCCTGCGCAAGCATGCGTGACCTTCTCCTCGTGGGCCTGAGATCCCGATTGCGGAGCCCATGGAGCTTGACGACGAGCGGACTCTGCTTAGCGAGGGCGAGACCAACCATTGTGCAGGTGCGCGACGCAGCAGAACCGCCGGGGCAACGGAGGACGGATGGGCCGACCCGAGCGACCCGCGCTACGGCGAGTTCAAGAATGATAGGAAACCTTCGGGGGCAAGAATGATAAATGCTGGAGCGGCCCAAGATCGTCGGAACCATGTCTCTCGACATCACGCGAATGGCTGAAACGCCGGCTGGGGGTCACAATAACGAGGGGGGAGAACTATACATCTTTCGCCGCAGGGAGCGCTGTCCCCCCCCCCCCCGAGAGAGAGAGAGAGAGAACGGGGAGGGGCCCTGCCTTTCCGGTTCCAGGGCTAACATTTCCCATCTGGGGGAACACGCCACCTGACCATCCCACAAGTACGCCCTGCAGAGATCCGCCCTTCTGTGCCCCCGTGGCGCACAGCAGGGCGGCAGCGCACGAGCGAGCGCGGGTACAGACGGCCGACGCCGGCGGCGCTCCGAGGCGCGAGGGCGGGAAACACCAAGCTGATGTTGTTTTACCGATGTCGGTATGTATCGGACCGACGGCACCGCAAGTGAGCAATCGGTGCCCATCCACTTCACAGTCGTCAGGGAGCTGCACGCGGAGGCCTGGCCCGCAGAGTGGGGCTAATCATGCGAGTCAGCCCCAAACCGTATCGAAGCAACGGGGAAGGGAGGAAGGAGAGGAGAAGAGGGCGGAGGGAAGCTGGTGAGCGCTCCAAAACACCTGGATCAACGCTCAGGCCAACCCTGCCACAGGCGAGCCGTTGTTGCACGCCCTCTGGGGCCTGAGATCTGTCCGACAAATCGGCGCGCTCCTCCAGCGCCGAAAACCCTTCAGATCCCGAGTGTCGTGACAAATCTGCGGGAACTTCGGCCAGCGCCCTGGTGCTGCTCAGCAGACCTCCTGCTGTTCTGTATGCACCCCCCCCCTCTCGACGGCGCCCAAGTAAGCGCGGCGCGCGCCCTCATCCTGGTCCTGCTTGACGCCTCCCTGGCGGTCGCCAAGGCCTCTGCGATGCCCAGGACAAAGACGGCCAGGCCGGTAGGGGGCCACATGCGAACCCTACCCCTACCCCCCACGATTTCGGAGGGGGAGGGTGGGGTTCACTGCGTTCGGGAGCTCCCGAACGAAGTGAACCCCACCCTCCCCCATCCGAAATCGTGGGGTGTAGGGGGTAGGGTTCGCACGTGGCCCCCTAGCCGGGCACCAGGCGAGCCCCCAGCCCACCCACAGCGCGCGAGGCGACCACGAGGAAGCCACGGCCGGGCACCGGGCGAATCCCGGAACACCCGTCAGATTAGTCACAGCACGAGTGAGCACCCCCAAGTGCAAGCACTGCTTCGGGAAATGCAGGATGCAACATCAAGGCATCCTCTCGTCCGGAGAAGCGAGCTGCTACATGCTGTAGACCTGTTGGGCTTGGCGAAGGGATGTGCATCATCATGCCACGGCCCTTTGGGCCCTGAGGAGGGCAGCTATCAGATGCTACGGCTTTCTCGAGCCTGCGACCTCTGGCACATGGCACGGCCCTCTGGAGCCCGAGTGCGGGATCTGTCCGATGTCACGGCCTTCTTGGCGGCCCTCGAAAGATCGCCAAAGCGCTGCGCCGGCACGGCGGAGGATCTTGTCGCGAACACTCAAGCGCATCAAGCAGACAACAACTTCCAAGGCATTTGAGAAAATGGCGGGTGGCAACATCCGACCGCACGGCTCAAAACTACCCAGCCCGATCTCGTGGCCACTCGCACGACAAAGTGCGACACGCCACAACTCTCAGCACGGCGGCAGACGATCGAACTCGACCTCATGCCTTCCACATGGCGCCACGCAGCACGCCGCTGGGCGACCGCGCCTGGCCTCGTGCCCGCCCGCGCGAGACGCGATGCTACACAGCACGCTACTGTTACGGGGTGGCACGAACTCGATTTCGTGTTCAACCATGCAGCAACGGAGCAACGCACGACGCCGCGCAACAGGAGGCCGCGGACTCCAAAATCAGATGAGGGCGTGCCGCGTCCGGCCGGGCCGTGGAGATTGAGATGAGCACAACCATCGTGCTACCATCAGGAGCGCCGGGTCAGGAACGACTGGGCCTCTTCTGGCAACTGCGAGCCTCCGCGACGAGAAGAGGTTCCCGACAGACACTGCCCTGGAAACAGAATGCAACTGTAATCGTCGAATTGCTTGTTTTCGTCGCCTTTGGCGTTCTTCGATTTTGGCCTCCGGGGGCCGTTATCGAACCCCGGGACCGTCAGAAATGGACCCAGGATGAAAAACTACCCCCATGGAAGTCCCCTGGACGATGTTCTGACATACCATGTCAAACATGATCTGCTTTTCCAGGGGATGGGGTAGGTCTAAGGAACGACACCAAAGCCAGAGCCACTCCTGAGCCGACGATGGTCCTCAGTGTTACGTTTTGACTGTGTGGCAGCTTTGCTCCTCCCGCAAGCATGCCCCACGTTCACGTACGCGTCCATGTCTGCTTTCATGAAGAAGTCGCAGTGCTCGGTGTGGTGCGTGGCCACGGTTGCCCAGAGGTAGAGGAAGCGCAGCGCGTTGAACCGAGGGTGGGGCGTCCCCGGGAACTCCGAGTGAGGTCGGGGGAAACCAAGCACAGAAAGACTTTGGCACCCTTGCGGCAGAGTGCCCTAAACAGCCTTGCACAGTTCACGATGGCGGGCCACGAGGGGCCACGGATTGCAGGGGCCTCGACCCCCTCGCCAGCCGTGATAAACATTAGATGGAACTTATTATCTAAACAATAAATTACCGACAAGCTATTCGGGGAACGTCGAACAATAGTAAAAGGTTTGTCCTTGCCTCAGTTTAACATGGTGCTGACATGGTGTGCCTCCAGGTGAATTCCTACGGTGGGTGCGCCTGCCCCCAAGTAGACCTGACGACTTCGAAATAACATCAACCACGTGAGACGTGGCTGGCCCAGCTGCAGACTCAAGCCGACGTACTGTCCAGAGCCTGACGCAAAAGAGAGAGCGAAGCACCAAGAACAAGGCTGACGCAAAGGAGAGTGTGCACGATAGTGGAACCTGACTTGAAAGAGAGTGAGTCAACGTGAAAGAGATCGAGAGGGAGTCCGAGAAAGAGAGAGAGAGAGATGGAGAGAGAGGGAGTCATGAAAGGAGAGCGAGAGAGAGAGAGAGAGCGAGACAACCAAGATAACGCAACGCGCGTGACACATTGGCTGTCTGGTATGGGTTTCTGTGAGTTTCCAAGGGCGACCTCGCCACTCTCGCGTGAACCTCGGACATCTCTCCCGACTTTGCTCTTCATCACCCTCGGCATCTGGATGGCTCCAGGACGGACCAGTAAGCGCCTGCGAGATGCCCAGAACACCCGTGTAAGACAGCACAACGATCCCTCAGAGGCCTCCCATAGATGCCCCAAGAGATGTCATGACGTCCTCCAGGAGACGCCCGAACAATCGACGGAGATTCCCAACCAGAGAAGACCAACAACGTCGAGGAATCCAAGGGAGATCAGCCTGTTGGCTTCGGAGGCGCTTCGGCTCAGATCACGTCGCGAACATTTCGGATAGCTCGTGAAGGCCTCCATGAAGGGCTCTAAGACGGCACAGCGGATGCTCGCAAACCCTTCCCAGCGTGTGCTCTAGCCAGGACCGCGAGGCGGACCTCGTCCAGCTCCTCTTCCTCCTCCTCCTCCTACTTCTCCTCCTCCTCCTCCTCCTCAAGCTCCTCTTCCTCATCCGCCTCCTTGTGAAGCTAGGCAAACTTAGAACTTAGATCGACTGTGATCGTCGCGTCAGTCCTCCTCCTCCTCCTCCTCCTCCTCCTCCTCGCCCTCCTCCTCCTCCTCCTCCTCCTCCTCCTCCTCCTCCTCCTCCTCCTCCTCCGTGTCTCGATCAAAGTCCGCTCAAGGCGTCCCTCGACCCCTCCAAAGGTCCGTTCAGGTCAGCCTGCCCCTCCGCACTGATCTCCCCTTCGTCCCCCGGCCCGAAACAAGGCCCTCGGAGGCCGAGAACGGCGAAACACGGCCTCCTCGGACCTCCTCCTCCTCGGACCTCCTCCTCCTCCTCCTTCTCCTCCTCCTCCTACTCCTCCTGCATCCACCTTTCCGATTGCGCATGACGCGATGGGGTCCTCTACGGAATTCCAAGTCCGCTATGACACGCGTCGGCGGACATATAACAGAAAGCGCAATGAGAAGGGATGGGTGGGAATGGTAAAATGTTAGACATGGCGCGAGCGTGCCTAGACCGTCCGTCACCCCTCACCCCACCTCCGCCTCCTCCTCCTCTTCCTCCTTCCTGTTGTCGCCGCCTCCGCCTCCGCCGTCGCCGATGCCCCCGCAGTCGTCGACGCCAACGCCGCCTTCGTCGCCGCCGCCACCGTCGCCATCGCTACCGCCACCGTCGCCGCCGCGTTCTTGGAACCAAAAAGGCGCCCTCTACGGACCTCTCTAGGGGTGCGTTCTGACCAGGGTTTCGAAGCGAGTCCAGTCGTGGCAACGAGGGAAGGGTAAGAGGTTGTGTTTGTTTAGACTCTACATTTACTACCATTGGGGGGAGCGTGACGAGGCCTGAATGGAATTCTGGACATTACGCACATCGGGACTAACTGGCACGCCTTTTCGACCCATCGTGGCTTCAAGAAAAACTTGTCTGGGTCTAATAGAAACGCCCTCTAGCGATACCGCTATTCCAGGACCTCTCCCAGGGTACGTTCTGGAGCGGATCCAGCCGTGGCGACGAGGGCACTCGCAGGACGTCCAGCAAGGTGCCAAACGGTCCAAACAATTAGAGAACCAGATCATCTCCGATCCTCGAACTTCGAACCTCGATCCCTCGAACCTCGACGCGCACTGGTATCGGTACATTTTCTTCCTCTGACTTGTCGTCGTCGCCGCCGCTGGAGGGACCCTGAGATCCGACGACTCGGAAAGGTTGCAACATCCTGAGAAATCAAAGTCGAATCCCAGACCCCAGCTTCCTGCGACATCTGTCGAGCCGCACCGATCTGCGAGGGCCCCAGGGTCTGAAGCGGGGCGAAAACTCCCAGTGTGAGAACACCGCAAGACCCACATCTCGGGGGAAGGTCGGCGGCGAGCCTGGGGAGGAAGTGAGACGGGGCGGGCCTTCTCAGAAGGCTCGGAAGTCCCCCGGACTGCTGAGAAGTTTCTAAGCCTTCCCCGAAGACACAAACAACTTCTCAGAACACAACTTTCCTGAAGACACAAACAACCTCTCAGGTATGGCGGTATCGGTGCCTCTCCCTCCTCCAGCTCGTCGCCGCCGCCACCGTTCCTCGCTCACGAGTGGCGCACATAGCTGCATCTGCGCCCTCGCGGTCTGGACTCGGGGGCACGATCCCACAGATACGCGGTCGCACGGCTGCGCTCTGCGCGGGGCATCCGCGAAAAGACACCTCGCATTCGCGGGGTCGAGGCCCAGGGGCGCGGCCCGCGAGGCCGCGGATACGGGTATGTTTGTCGCCCACGACTCGCCCTGGGAAGGAGGAGCTTCGGGTGCCGCAGGTCCACGTCGCCCGGCAGCGACAGCGTCGCGTCCTCCCAGGCGGGCGCCAGCGGCTCGCGGCTGTATAGCACGGCCACCGCGCTCTCGCCGCGGCGCCTCGCGGCAGGGCAGCCTCTTCCTCCTCCTCCTCCTCTTCCTCCTCCTCCTCCTTCTCCTCCTCTCTCTCTCTCTCTCTGTTTCCCTCTCCCTCTCTCTGTCTCTGTCTCTGCCTCTGTCTCTGAGTCTGTCTCTGTCTCTGTTTGTCTCTCTCTCTCTCTCTATCTCTCTCTGCGCACCGCCTGGAAGCGCGCGCGGTCCCGCAGGCCGCGGACGCCCCGATCCTTCGCGCCCGAGAAGGGGCACCTCTCGCGCCCCGCTCAGGCCGTGCCGCCGGCCAGCACCCCGCGCCAGCCCCGCAGCTGAAGGCGGCCGCAGCCGCCTCGCCCCCAAGGTTCCTCCAGCCAGCGGCAGAGCTTCTCCAGAAGCCGGCGCCAGGGGCCGTCGCCGGGCGGTCAGCCCAGCCCGCGCCCCGTGTAGGGGTCCAGGCCGCGCAGCGGCTTGGCCAGGCACTGCCGCTTCTCGCGCTGCCCCGCAGCAAGACAAACTTGTCTCGCAAATGTCGCCCTCCAGGGGCCTTCGCCGGGCCCGGGGGCCGTCAATAACGGCTCGGGATGACAAGCCGGCTTGGTACTCCTGAGGGCCGCGTATTGCAGGAATCAAACCATCAGATGTTAGGGTCTCTCTATCTAGCTCGCTCGCTCGATCGCTCGCTCTCCCACTCTCTGTGTGACTGTCTCGTGGTTGTCCTGCGGGCTATCCCGCGGGCTGTCCGGTGGGTCGTCCCGCGCTTGTCCCGTGGTAGTCCCTTCGGGGGGCGAACCAAACTTCCAATACAAGATCAAACGCTATGGAATCAAAAGGCACATCGAGATGGGAACCGGCATGCAAATCGAAATGCAAGTCGACACGCAATCCATATGCACATCGCAATCCAGATTCCCCACATCCTGAGTGGGTTCTGGCTTTTCCAAAACCTCCTGGTTGATGGGTCCTCGTTTTGAATCAGCAGCGCCACGCTCCACCTCCTCCTCAACCCCTCCCCCTGCGCCTCCTGCCGCTACTCTCTGCATGCTTATTCGGGCACACCGTCACATGTTTCGCGGCCCCATAAGGAGCTCCACCTACGGCCCAACTGAAAATGCCCGTGTGACACCGTCAACCCCACTTCGGCACAACACTCTCACGAGCCGAAGCCCCATAGGGATCTCCACCCACGGCCCAAGTGAGAGCGCGCGTACGGCACCATCGCCCCCTATTGCCCACGGCTCTGGTGAGGGCGTCCATATGGCAGCGCCGCCTTGTTTAGGTTCACCTCTTTTACGTTTGGCGTCCCCATATTGAGCTCCAGCTAAAGCCCGAGTGAAGGCACCCGTATGGCGGCGCTGCCTCATTTCGGAGCGCCCAATTCACGTTTTGTGGCCCCGTAAGGGGCCTCCCGCCACGGCCCCAGTGAGGTCGACTGTCTGGCAGCTCCGCCTCACGTCGGCGCACCCCTCGCACGGTTCGTGGCCCCACAGGGAGCTCCACATACTGTCCCAATCGAGTCGTCCTACGGTTCTGCCGCCTCATTCTGGTGCAACCCTCTCATGATTTGCGGCCCCATGGGGAGCTCCACACACGGCCCCACGTCAGGTCGACCGTATGGCAGCGCCGCCTCAGGTTGGCACACCCCTCACGCGATCCGTGGCCCCATAGGGAGCTCCACCTACGGCCCAAGTCAAGGCACCCGTATAGCACCACCGCCCCCATTTCGGCACATCCATCACATGGTTCGTGGCCCCATGGGGATCTACCCAAGGCTCCGGTGGGGTCGTTCATATGGCGCCGCCGCCTCATTTCGGCAAACACCTCACACGGTTCGTGGCCCCCTACGGAGCTCCAACTGAGGCCCCAGCGGGGTCGTCCGTATGGCGCCGCCGCCTCGTTTCGACATACCCCTCACACGGTTCGTGGCCTCACAGGGAACTCCACGGAAGGCCCCAGTGGTGATGCCCGCATGCTGGGCGGCCCCATTTCGGCATACGCTTCACACGGTTCGTGGCCCCACGCCGGCGCACCACTTACGAGGATCACGCCCCTTCGGCAGACCCGCAGAAGGATAGCCAACGTCAGAGTTACATGAAGCAGATCAGGGTTGGGTCTTTCGCCAGGATCACATTGACAGCACTCGCCACTCTGCTCCCATTTTCCACGGCACGCATCGCCAAACGCGTAGCGTACGAGGGTGGCAGCGCTGTCGCAGAGCGACGTTGCGGGTGCATCCCCTCCCATCTCCAACCTCTCCTCCCATGCCCTCCAGCCGTTCCGCGGTGCCACGGGCGGCCCCAAGGCCAACGCATCCAAGGGGCTGCACCCCCAAAAGAGAGGGAGAAACAAAAACACGAGGGGAAAACACAGGGGGAAAGTGACTCCTTCCTCTTCTCATTGTCCCACTCCTCCCTTCTCCTCTCGTCTCATCTCACGAATTTCAGCTGCTCTACGACTCCACGTCCTCCTGCACGTTCCAACCGCTCCACGGCAGCACCAGAAGAGCCGTGGCGCACCAGTTCCAGCGGCCCCACGGCTCTACAAAGGAATCATGCATTCCCACGGCCACGCTTCGCCATTACAGCCGCTCATTTAATTAAGCAAGCTGTTGATGAAAGAACCTGGGCAGACTTCCCAAACATTCATTAAAACAAGCCTAGGCATTTTTGTTCGGTCAACGCTGCAGGGCCGAATGTGTTCAAGAAGCTGGGCCGCCTTTCCGGCAACTTTGCCAAGAAACGCTGGCCCAACTTTCCGGGAGGAGGTTTTTTGTTGTAATCACTTGCTCGACCGTACCACATTACCCGTGTGCATGTCTAGGGAGGCAGGATCAGCTTCGATGTCCAAAGTATGATCCTTCCTGCTGCTGCTCTCCGTCGTCTTTCTACTGTGTTGTTAGCCAGCGCCACGGTTCACCCACTCCCGTTTGTATGTGCTTGACCTTGATTTCCTGCCCACGTGCTGGACGGCCTGTGGCAGAATGAATGGATATGGGGAGGGGGACGAGGGATGAGGAACAACGGCGGCCGCAAGGGAGAGGCGAACCAGCAGCAAGGGCAGCGAGCAGCTCTTAGGAGAGGAGAAGGACGATGAGTGGCAGATAGCAAGGAGAAGGAAGAGGAGAATGAGCACTACCTCCCCTGGCCAGCCAACTTTTCTGATGGCGCAAGCGCGCCAGCAAATTATAATCAGAAACAGCGCAGGCCAACGAACGTCCCACGGTCTGAGGGCTCCGAGCGGGACGCGAGGAGGCGTGCGACCTGGAGATCTCCCCCCGCAGGGCAGTGAAAGGAGGGGAGGCAGGTCGGGGCTAGGGACGGCGCAGCAAACAGACCTGAAGAGAAAACGGCCGCGGGGTTGTCTGCTCAATGCTGTGCCAATCGCGCTCTCATGAGCACTACCCCCCCTGGCCAGCCAACTTTTCTGATGGCGCAAGCATGCGCCAGCAAGTGAGAATCAGAAGCAACGCGGGCCAACGAACGTCCCTCGTCTGAAGGGCTCCGAGCGGGACCTGAGGAGGCCTGCGACCTGGAGATCCCCCGTACCCACTCTGTAGTCTGCGTTTTACAGCTCATGCAATCATATTTCCAAGCTCAGCGCACATATTCGCAGGGCAGGACTAAGCAGGGCGGGTCAACCACCGACCCGACTCAGCCTTCAGCTTGCATGTGAGCCCGACCTTGTCTAATCTGATGCCCTGGACCAGTAAAGACGAACCCTTTTCCCACGTCTGCCCAAAGTGGCAGAAACCGAAGTGCACGAACCCAGGGGTCTCCGTTTTCTTTGAAGAATCTCTTCTTCATCAGCTTCCTCATAGCCGGCGCTTTCCGAATTCTACTGGAGTCAAGGGTCTCGATCGCGCGAGGTATCCCAGACTTAGCGGCGGCACAGCACTAGCGCACTATACAAAACAGAAGCTGGCTACCCATTCTGACTTGTTTGGCATCCGTTTCGCCGAGTTCCGGCGAAGCCGCGAAGCAAACGTCTTCCCCGCGGAGTGGCCCAAGACCAGATCCCTTTCCACGACGAGCCCGACTCCCCGAACTGCGCGGCAGCCCAAACCACATGAAACCGACCCTTATGCTGCGAATCAAAGCCAAGAACGAATGTGCCGACACGTGATTCAAAACATCAGCTCTCATCTCGATGTCCAGAGCATCAGCTTTCACTCCTTCCCGCCGCAGGGCCTGGCTAAGACGCCCAGTTCCAGGGGATGCCTCGATCGCCCCGCGGCGGCCCCATCTGCCCCGCTCCTGAGGTTTCATCCTCGCAGAGGAGTGAGCGGCGACCTCTTCCCCGTCAACGCGCCGTCGAGGTTGGCCGCGCACTGCTTGCAGTACTCTAGCACTTGCGGGGAGAGGTCGGTGAGCGGGCTCTGAACTTTCCTCGTCTAGGGATCGGCGCACCGACGACTCCGTCTGCCGCCGCCCTCGTGCCACCGCGGTTGCCCTGTCGGTCAACTCTCGACCCTGGGCCCGACGATGAAGCGCCACCCCGAGGTTCCCGAGGTAGCTCTGGTCGAGCAGGAGGCCGTCGTCGAACGCCACCGCCTTGTCTGGCGCCTTCTCGCCCGGGCCACTGACGATCGCGGCGTAGCGCTTGAAGCCGCGCCCCGCCCTCGCAACCGGAGGAACCGCGTCCTTCGCGCGAATGCTAAGTCCCTCCGACGGCCCCGGGTAGCGCGCCAACAGCACCGATAGGAAGAGCACCGATAGGAAGAGCGCCCGACCGGCAGTCGGCGATCTCAGCCGCGATAGCCCGCGGCAGTGGCAGGAGGCTCGTCGGCGGCGCCTCCTTCTCCCATCCCTTCGGCGCTCTCTGGGCTCGGACCAACGGCCAGATCTGCGAGTTCTTGGTCGTCGCCTCCTCGAATTGCACAGTGGAGTCGTCCTCCCCCCCAGCGGCGGCCCGTGCCCGCGCGGGAACTTGGCGTCGATGTAGTCGACCAGCACGAGGTCCGTCGCCGCTCCGATCCCCGACGGTAGCCCGTTCTCCGCGCAGAAGTCCTTGGAGGCCTTCAGGTAGAACTCGTAGTCGCCTGTGACCCGTGCAAGATGCTCCGCTCTCCAAGCCAGGACTTCTCGCCCCGCCATGCCAGCGGCATTCCCATCGGGGACTCCGCCTCCGCGGCCAGCCGCTTGCCGGCGGCCTTTGCCAGGGCCTCGCGGCCCCCCAGCGCGGCAAGCGCCCGCTCCATCGCCGCCGGCCTCGCCGCGCGGGTCAAGCGCCCCAGCTCGCTCGATCCGCGCGCCGCGGTCGCCCTCGCACCGCCATCTCTCGAGCCTGGGAGGCTCCTCCGAGACGTCGGCGCCGAGAGCGAAGATCCGCGACGCCCGCGAGCTCCGCCCTGCCGCGCTGTCAGCTGGCGGACCTCCGAGGCGGCCCGCAGCGGCAGAGGCGCCGCACTGGCGGCCCTGCCCTCCGAGCCTGCGAGACGGCTCGTCCGCGACGTTGCGCTCGCTAGGCGCCCATCTGGGAGGGGGGCGACCGTTGGTCGTCCAAAGCAGAGGACCCACCTGCTGACAGGCCCTGAGCAAATTATTCGAACGGGCCCGGCCCTTGGACAACGCGAAACACAGCCCGATATTGTCCGCCAAGAGAACGTGGCGCTTCCCCAAAATTGCGGTGATCCCTTGAAAGCCCTCTGAGCGCCAAGACAACCGCCCCCCCTCCTCAGCGCGATGTGATCCCTCCAAAACTGCCAGCCCCCAAACTACATCACCTTCCAATCTTGGGTCTCCACGAGATCCGCGGGCACCTTGCAGAAATCGGGGCCCTCGTGCATCGATGAGAACCCCGATTCCTGCTTCGCCCCACAAGCTTTCATGGGCGACTCCAGGGGCCCTGAGATGACAGGCGCTAGCGATGTCCTCCAGGGGGCCCATCCTAGGAACCCTCGAACGCGGCGCCCAATGATCAGGAACGAATCTCTTGAACCTCCACGTCTCATTCCGTCCCCCCAGATCACGAGCGGTTTGAACGTCGAGATCGTGCCCGCAAATGCCGTGGCCTGAAGGGGGAGCGTCGGCGAGCGTGACAGTTCCGCTCCAACTCTGACGCGGGTCGGCAACGCGCAGCGGGAGGAAACCGACGATGACTCGGCGACCTTTGCAGCAGCTAGCCCAGAGATGTTCGGTCTGTCCAATCTGCGCGGCGAAGTCTTGCAAATGACGGAGCACGGGCAATGCGCTTCGGTTCAGCATTGCGACGTGCATGTAATACCCGATGCGCTTCGCCACCACCATCCCACTCGCGATAGGCCCCTGACTCGTCCAATCGAAATCCTTGATCAACTTCCAGAGCTTCTCGGGGTCGGGCCGTGGCGTGCCTGGGCCGGCGTCGGGGGCCGAACCCTGCGCGCGGGCGACGGGATCAGGTCCCTGGACATCGTGGATCGAAAACCCGTCATCATCCATCCTCCTCTGCGCCCTGTCGCGAAGCTGACCGGCGTCTGCGCTCGCAAAAGCTGCCGCGCTGAGGTCGCCGCAGCAAGCCGCGCGCGCCGCGCCGACCGCATTCGCGCAGGGGGCCGGGCGCCAGCCCAGGAGATCCCTCGAGGCGCTCCCTCCAAAGCAACTTGGGCGCAGTGCCCCTGCGCCGACCTGAACGGCCACGCGCAGTCCATCGGTAGAATCCGAAGACGCATTGATTACCGCCCCCCGTCGCCGAACCCTTCCAAGAGCCCCAGACTGACGCCCGCAACATCAACTGGTGAACATCCAGATCCGTCTCGAACGCGAAGACGCCAGACAAACTCTCGAGAATTCCGCGCCCTTAAAAACAATCCTTGATGCCAACCCGAGCCCGACAAACATCGTTCCCTACAGGGGGCTCAAGATCGCAGAAAGAACTCAGCCACCCCAGCTCGGTGTGCGGCGGCGGCGCAAAGCGCGATTGCACTGCCTGCAGTCTGGCGCAAATCTTTGCTTCCCAGGCATTTCTAAAAAGCTGAAGGCCCCGATGCGGGCCGCGGGGCGGCGCGATCACCTCGCCAGACCCCTGGGCGCCAAACTGGCGGCAGAACTACCGCGGCCGTCTGGCCTCGACAAAACAGGATCCGCGCGGGGAGGGGCGCTGGCAGCCTGCTCGGCGAGCGCGCTCCATGCAGCATTCGCTCCTCCAAATCACAAAGGCACTCTCGAGGCGTGCCTAACAAGACCGAGACCGCATCTACAAGTTCAAGGACAACTTCGGGGGGCGACGAATCCTGCAAGACCACGGGGGCCCGGGCCCCTTGCCCAATATCACACGTAAGAAGGCTGCTGTACTTGGAGCTCTTTCAAATGCCCCTGAGCGCGCGAGACCCGCGGGCCTAGGGCCCAGCGGCCCAGCTCACGAACGCGATCCAAGCGCTCTGGCTCTGCGGCAGGCTCGCTAAGTCACTGGCGCCCGGAAGGGCAGGCCAATCGCGGGGCCCGCAGCACATGCGATTGATTGAGTCGACGCACGAGTTGACCTGCGCAGCGACGGCCAGTCGGCGTAGCAGCCGCCTCTCCGTCGTCCTGCGCAGGTGCTGTCCTCGATCGACCTCCGGAACAGCAAGCCGCCGCAGCGGAAAGACGCCCCGCGCCCGGCTGGGCGCCACTCCCATCGCTGACAAAAAAAAACCCGAGGGTGAGCCCTCGGCGCGCGCGATGCGGCCTTAGCTGGGCAGGGTTGCGCCTTTCCTCGCCAACTGCTGGCCCGCGGGCGGCTCCTTCATCGCCGAGGGCGCGGTGGGCCAATCCGCGCCCCGGGACGTCGGGCTAACGCGCTCCGGCGGCGCCCCCAGCTCCGCCTCCGCCTCGCCCTCGTCCTTCGGGGTTGGCCCTCGGCGCCCGGTTCTCCACCGCCTTGCGCTTCTCCTCGGTGATCGCCGCCCCCGCCCGGAGCCTCTCCGAGACGTGCGCGGCGAGGGCGGGCGCCGCCGGCGCGCCTCCTGCCCGCGGCCCATCGCCAATGAAATTGGCCGCTCCCTCGTAGCTCGGCGCCGAGGGCTCGCGCGGCGCGCCCCCGCGATGAGCGGGCGCCTCCGAACCACCGCCCCCATGCACGCCAGGTTCATGATGTCGAGGCCGTCGCGCGTCACCGGTAGATCCTGCACCAACGCGAGGTTAGTTCGCCTCCGCGAGCCACTTGCTGTGCTGGGCTCTGGGCCCCTCCGCCGGCCCGGTCGCGTCCCTGCGGTGCCACTCCGTCGTTGTCGGTCCCGAAAGAGAGAAGTCGTCGAAGTCAGTCATCGTCATTTCCTGCACCGAGCGACGGAACTCCTTCCTCCTCTGGCCGTCCGTACACGTCGTCGCCCACCGCCTGGTCACCGCCGTGCGTGGCAGTAGCGGCCCTGCACCGCTTGATCCTCCCCTCGCAGAAGCTGTCGAACTTCGCCTGGTAATTCTGGAGCTGCCGAACGACCACAGCTCGCGGTTTCGCCGTGCCCTGCAGCACCATGAGTGTCATGTCATTGAGCACGGCGGCCCCAGGCGCTAGCGTCACGATCTCGCCGATGCCGTGTCCGTCGACGTGCTCCGCGAGGACCAGCTCGGAACCGCCGCTGGCGCCGCGGCAGCGGGCGGGGCCGTGGCGACCACCGCGGCCGCTCCTGCCCCGCCGCCCCCTGCGGTTATTGCGGCGGCCGCCGCGGGCGCCGGTGGATGAAGCGCCATCGCCGCCTGCGCCTCGTCGAGCAGCTGCACGATCTCCGCGTCGGCGCCCCGAAACGATACAGCTGCGCGCTGCCCACTCCGATTGGCACCTCCCCGTTGTCACCGAGGAACCTCACCAACTCAAACGTGGTGGCGTCGCTGTAATCCTCGTCGTGCGCGTCGTGTCGGGGCTTGCCGCCGTCGCCACTCCTCCAACCATGTCAGTCAGAAGAAGCCGTTCGTGTAACAATTCCTCGCCCGCGACCGCGTACTTCACGAGCGCTCTCCGGAGTGTGGTCGCTCCCCGACCCGTCGACAAACGGCCAGCCGTCCGTTCCCCTCGGCAGGGGCGCTGGCGGCGCTCCCGCTCCTGCTCCACTTGCGACCACAACCGCAATGGCTGCAAGCTGGCACAACCTGTACCGCCGAGAAGGCGATGGCCAACGCAGAGCCTGCGAGCGTCTCGAGGCTGAACAGTGGTGCCCACGCTGGCGAGGCGTCCACCTTCCAGTGGCAGAGGCACACCTGCTGCGGCGGCACGCAGTGGCACGCCTCCTCGCGACCCGCGGCCCGCTCCGACGCCGCGGCGGACGAGACCGCCACGCGGAGCGTCCAGGCCGATAGCCCAGTCAACCCACTCGAAACCACGAGGTTGAGCGCGGCGAGGCTGCCCAGCGGGCCGCGGAACATACGCCTCCGCCGCGCGGTGGCCGGCAGGGGCACCCTCACGGCGCAGCAAACAGACCTGAAGAAAAAACGGCCGCGGGGTTGTCTGCTCAATGCTGTGCCAATGGCACTCTCAGGAGGAGGAGGAGGAGGAGGAGGAGGAGGAGGAAGAGGAGGAGGAGGAGGAGGAGGAGGAGAAGGAGGAGGAGGAGGAGGAGCAGCAGCGTTGCGACAGGGAGGAGCAGGAGGGGATGAGTGGGTTCGAACAAACAGCCAAAGAGAACGCTGATTGCCCGACGGGATGGCGAGTCGAAGCCGTGCAAACGAGATCACACAGCAGAGCCATCTGGACCCTCCCGCTTGGCGGAGTTTCTAGTCTGTGAGGTCGGCGGCCGCCCCGCCTAAAAATCCACTGTCGTGGAAACACACAGCACGTCGTGACACAGATCACGACAGATCCCCCTGACGCAATCATTTTGCTGCAGTGCTGGAGGATCGATCCTGCGGCCCGAAACGGGACGACAACGCACGGCGTGGCTTCTTCCACGATGTCCAAACCGGATAGCGGCAGCTAGACCACGCCCGACCGCAAGCCGCAGCGCTTCCACCAGCGGGCTGCAAAGCGAAGCGGGACCCCCCCCCCCACGGCGCCTCCGGCCGAAGAGGTACGGTTTGGCCCAGGTGGCGACGGTTGCCTGCCGCAGTGGGCGCGAACGCGACGACGAAGACGAAGACGACGACGACGCCCAACCACTCGCGGGAGCCAACGCCTGCTGCCGCTTCTTTCCCTGGCATCCTCGTTTGCGCCAGCCCTTCCCGCGACCGCTGCTCTTCTGCTGCTGCTGCTGCTGCTGCTGCTGCTGTTCCCCTGGCGTCCTTCGGTTTTCGAGCTCTCCACTGGTTGAGGCAGTCGCCTCGACTAGAGCACTGCTGCTTCCCTCCTCCCCTCCTCTTGGGGCCTCCTTCCTTCTTGTCTCCTGCACTTATGCTCTTTCCTCCTCTCCCGCCTCCTCCCTCTCTCCTTTGTCCCCTGTCTGTGCAACTGCTGGCACTCTTGTGCGCTCCCTGGAGTTCCGACGAAGTGGCGTCAGACGCATGCCCAGACTAGACCTCCACCGGGCGCTGCCAATTGCACAACCGTCGCCACTGTTTCGAACTCAGAAGAGGCGCCACATAGCGAAGTCACACGCGGACCCAAGGTATTGCTTCCTTCCCTTGGCGTCGCTGGGAGGTGCAGCGGAGCGACGTCCTACGCGGACCCTGCATATCATCCCCTTCCCTGGGCGATGCGTGCCGCGCAACTGTCGCTACTGTCGTGCGCTCCTGTGAGGTCCAGCGGAGCAACGCCTTACGCGGCCCAATGTATTACTACGCTCCCTGGGCGGTACAACTTGATCAACTATCGACACTTGCGTGCGATTCCTGGAAGGTCCAGCGGAGGCACGTTTTACGAAGATCCAAACTATGCATCCCCTCCCTCGGTGCTGTTGACTGCTCATCAGTCGACACTTTCGTGGGGAGTTTGGATGCTCAGCGGAGTGACGCGCGACGCCGATCAGAACGACGACTCTCATTAATGGGCGCTGCAAATTGATCAAGTATCTATATGTCCGTGAGCCCCTGGTCATGCGGAGTGACGCGGTACGCAGGTCCAAACTATTACTCCTCCCCGTGGGCGCTGCCAACTGCGCATCTGTCCACAACTTCATGAGCTCCTGCGAGGTCAAATGAAGTGACGCGATAAGCGGATCCGGCTTATCACACCTCGGTGGGCGCCGAGAGCGCGAAACTGTCTGTATACCCAAACGATTGTCCCTCCCTGCCTGCCTGCCTGCCTGCCTCGTCCCGCCAGCCCTGGCCTCCCGCCTGCGCGTTCGTCCTCGTTTGCTTGTCTCTCCTTTCCTCCCTCTCTGCGTTCCGTCAGCACTTGGGGTAGCTGCTAGAGTGACCCCCCCCCGCGCGTTCTTGTAGCTTGGAGACGTTGGTGGAGAGCCTGTCGACTCATGTATCTGTCGTTGGAGCGCAATACTGGTCGCACACGCAGCCCGCAGAAGAGCAACTTCGCTCCTTCAAATGTTACGTCGCCGTGACTTGGCCTGTTGACGCCGCAACTTGTCCCCGTATATATATATATATATATATATATATATTGGATACGCAACTGGAGAATAGCACATGCACTTGACAATCGCATGGTTATAACTCGTACCCGCCGAAATAATCCGACCATCCATCCGACCACGCCACGATCGATGGCCTGTGCAGTCGGAAGCCGTCACCCCGAGGCAACATGCGTGAGCGTGTACACGCATCTCTCTCTCTCTCTCTCTCTCTCTCTCTCTCTCTCTCTATATATATATATATATATATATATATATGCATGTTGTATGTGCGCGCTTGCAGAAGCATAGGGCTTAGGTGTGTTGCTCTATGTATGTATCTATACATCCAGGCACACAAAAAAGGTTTAGCTATCGACGCAATGTGTATATGCACGCATGCCGGCCGTGCAGCTATCTTTACAAGTGCGCATGTGTATACATACAATTCGAAATGGTTTTGTGATGGAATCGAACGGACCCTACTTTTAAAGGCGCATGCATAAATAGAGCCGGGAGCACGCAGATATGGGGACGCCTACATGATAGTATTTCTATGTGGGCAGGCGGAGACACAAAGAGAGAGAGAGAGAGAGAGAGCGAGGGGGGAGAGGGACACACACACACACACACAGACATAGGGAGAGAGGGGGGGATAGAGGCAAGTATATACAAATACAAAGAAATGGCGCGTGCGCGCCAAGATAACCAATTGGAGGACGTAGCCATCGCAGGCACACTTGCAAGATGAAGAATATGAAGTCGGATCTGGTAAGGAGGAGGATGAAGATGAAGAAGCAGAGGGACACACATATGATGATAATGAGGATCACCAGGGGGTTGTTGGGAAGAAGGTGCAACAGCGTGATCGCAATCGAATGCAGGTGGTGTTGCCACACCTTGCGATATGTGTGGCGCAGGAAGGTTTCCCACACCTTGCGACTGCGGTTGAAAAAGAGTTCCGAAGCCGTTCGTTGGAGGATGCTTTTAGTGAAACTGTTGTTTCGAAGAGTGCGAAGACGACTTTGAATACGTCGGGTGTCAATGATGGGGGGATGTTGGTGCCCTTTGAGAAATTGAGATCTTCATTCTAAACTATTGAAAAACGCGAGATTCGTGAGGGGTGCGTCTGGTTTGGGGGAGTGTGAGGATATCCCGAGCGAAGCGGCAAGAAAAGGGGATCGGCGAAGCGGCAAGAAAAGGGGATCGGCGGTAACTGATATGTCTCTATATGTACGCACGTCTCCTAACACGTAGGGTCATACCTGTATGTGCGGATTCGGGGACGTGTCACACATGTAATTATGGACGGTGAGGGCTAGATATGCACAGAGGGGGATATCGAGAGAGAGAGAGAGAGAACAAACAAATAATGACAACAACAAGCAGAACGACAGACAATAGAGAGAGTGAGAGACCGAGAGAAACTGAGAGGGCGACAGAGCGAGAGAGAGAGAGAGAGAGAGCGAGCGATAGAGAGAGAAAGAGAGAGCCAGAGACCAAGAACGAGAGAGGACAAACAAATAGCGACACAGAGAAAGAGAGAGACAGAGAGAGAGTGATAATGAAGGCGAGGGGGATCAATTTTCTTTTTTTGACATCAACACCGGTGAACAAAAAGAAGGACCATCTCAATCAGATCTGCCCGAGTCGGCAAGCACTGATCCCCTCCTCAAGGGACCTGGCGACCTCTGCTCGAGGGCGTGCGCGCACACCCAGAGGCACAGCAGCGCCAGAGACAGAGGAGGAGGGGGCAGAGGTGGAGCCCTCGGGTGCGAAAAAACGCTGAGACCTTCGGGCGGAATGAAGACCTCGAGGGGCAGAGTCCCGCAGGGGGCCTCTCGAGGGGGCCACGACCTGGGGGCTCCCAGGCGCGAGAAGACCCTTCAATGGGGCAGAGGCGCCTCCTCCTCCCCCAACCGACTGAAGCACAACCTCCTCCTCCTCCTCCTCCTCCTCCTCCTCCTCCTCCTCCTCCTCCTCCTCCTCCTCCTCCTCCTCCTCCTCCTCCTCCATATCAGCCCTGAGGGCACCGCTGCAAGGCGCGGCGCCTTCACCAAGGCAATCTAGAGGCTGGCTGGCAAGGGCAGCTGGCGCAGAGCAGGCGCCCCGAAAAGGGGGGGGGGGCACTCTCTGAAGAGACTTGTCCTCTCAGCGGGGTAGCGCGCATCCCTCCTCCCCCGTCTAACGACGACGGCTCAAAGGCGGCCTCCTCCTCCACCAGGGCACCGAGGAATTCGCGAGCAGTCGCGTCTTCCTCTTCAAAACCAACGAGCAGAGGGTAAGGTGCGGATGCTGCGGCAGCACCAGGCTGTAGAGAATGAGCAGGTGCCTCCGCAGCACTCGAATCCTCCAACGAAAAATCGGACCAGGGTCCGCGCTCCACACTCACATTTTTACGGTTGGGATGCCTGCCCTTGCTCACAGGACCCCAGCTGCTACACTTGGTAGCCCTAGTTGGACCTTTGCAATCACTGCCTAGGCCCCTGATGCGCCCATGGGGCGAATAGCAAAAGCAACGCATGCAACTAACAAGAGAAGCATTGTCAGCACACGCAAACGTTATACACCTGTGTCCCCTAGCCGACAGCACGCTGGGAGACAACCCATCCATGGGGCGGCAGACAGAGGCTGGCGGAGGAGGACCATGGGTGGACGCCCTGCTGACCTTGCCACATGTGGTGCACTTCCAAAAACCTGGACGCGAGCCGATCTGACAGGACTGGATCGCTGGCCACAAGCAGCGTTCGCCAGCCTCAGTGACAGGCTTAGTCCAAACAGCTCCATCTAGCTCTAGCTTGGGCCATTCTGGGAGAAGCTTAGCAGCGAGCTTATCCGCTGCACTCGAAAGCTTGACGTCGCCTTCAATCATACTGGAAGCTTCCTCTGAAGGCTTGGGGTGCCCGAGGTGGCCTTCGCCCGCAGAAGCCAGACGCGCCCCAACATCAGCCCAGTAAGTCCCAAAGCGACACTTTTTTCCAATTGGCTGGTCCACTCATCGAGAGACTGGTGGGCTTTCATCTTGTGGAGGCTACGGATCTTCCACCAATCGTGCACAAGAGCCAGGGACAACCCGCTATAGCAGCGCTTGGGCGACAGCCGATCTACTTTCGGCAAAGCAAAATGATCTTTCACTAGCTGGGCGTCAGTGTAAAATTCCGAGGGCTCGCTCGCAAAAAGACAGGCCTGGCAGAAAACTGCAAATTCTCCAGCTGGGGTTGTCTGCGGGTACCAGGGTGGAACGGGGCCGTGCATCATGGCTTGGAATTCGCCTTGGTCGTCAACGACGGCGAAGCACCAGCCAGCCCTACTAAGCTCGCGAACCACGTGTCTGGCTGCACTCCCGTCGGTGAAGATCCTATTACTAAAGTTAAAATGAATGAAATCCTGGGGGAGGCCTTCTCTGGCCTTAAACGTTCCTGAGGGCTCCGGAGACGGCAGCGGAAAATAGCCACCTGGATGCACAAGCGCTCCAAAACAAGAAAGGACAAGATCGAGTTCGTTCTTCCCTCGCTCTAGAATGTCAGGGCCCAGGAGGCTCTCTCTAAGGCTGGTTATCTCAGGGCTTGGGCAAACCCACAGGCGGTGGTGTAGCG